TTGGATATGTTTAAATACATAAAACTTTACAGCATAATGAGTGAAACTTAATCAGCCTGGGTTTTCTTTAAGAAAAACATTTAGTAAGCTTAAAAATACCAAGAAGAAAATGTCACCAACAAAGCCCACTGGGGTACCCTAGAAAAATAAGATGAAATCTAGGCAATACTATATGGTCTAATCTCTTCTTTTGTGCTTAGTCTAGTTTTATTAGCTTATAGGGTTCTGTGTTCCAAGGCCTTATACCTAACATGTAAGATTACAGCTCCCCACACAGAACCACTGGTCCCACCTAATGCTTCTCATTCCAACTTGGTAGGACTTTATGCAGAAGGCCTGCTCAAGCACTGCAATTCAAGATGGCAACAGCATCCTGTGTGGAGAGGTGCTAAAGTGAAGTGAAAGTCGCTCAATCATGTCTGACTCTTTGCGACCCCATGGACTGTAGCCTGCCAGGCTCCTCGGTCTGTAGAATTCTCCAGGACAGAATACTGGTGTGGGTTGCCATTTCCTTCTCCAGGGGATCTTCGCAACCCAGGGATTAAACCCAGGACTACTGTATTAAAGGCAAATTCTTTATTCTCTCAGCCATCTACACCTGGCATTTCGGACTGAAGCAACAGGACTGAGAGAACTTTGCCCCTCCCTCTGCAGAGGAGAGGAAGGGTAACAAAGATCAGCAAAAACTTAAAAGGGAAAGTTACACAAGCAAGGGCAAATGATCAGTGGAGTCTGACATGAACAGCATCTCTCAGTTAGCCAGATATGAAATGAGTTTTCAGCTGTTGCTCAGACCTGGGGGAAGTTAAAATCCAGGAACTTGCAGGCAGGAGAGAAGCCTGACTAATGTTTAGTGAAGACACAATGTTTGGTCTTTTGAGGAATGTACTAACAGTTTGGTGCTGGTTCGCTATTCCACTGTAAAGCTCCTCCTGTGTTTACCTGCACTTCCTAGAACTTTCTTGTTGAACATATTGTTTTTCATGTGATATCACTAACTCCTGTGTTATTTAAAGATTGTACTTTTCTGTTTTTTTCTATCTGTATCTCTCACATTCTTACCTATATCTCATATATTTTATAAGATATTGCATATTTCCTATTTTTTGATATAATAAAACAAGCAGTAAAAAACTGAACTACTGTGCATCTTATGCACCAATTATGTGTCTCTACTAACCAACTTCTTTCACCAGGTGGTAAAAAGTTGCTGCAACTATTTTTATCACTCATTCACCTCACTATAATTTGGACTTTCTCCATTGCATTCTCTAAAATATATTTTGATAAGATTAATAGTGATTTCACTTTAGTCACTCAGTCATGTCCAACTAATTACACCCCCATGGACTGTAACATGCCAGGCATCCCTGTCCATCACCAACTCTCAGAGATTGCTCAAACTCATGTCCACTGAGCCAGAGACATCATCCAACCAGCTCATCCTCTGCCATCCCCCTCCTCCTGCCTTCAGCCTTTCCCAGCATCAGAGTCTTCTTTATTGAATCAGTTCTTCGCATCAGGCAGCCAAAGTACTGGAGTTTCAGTTTCATCAGCAATCCTTCCAATGCATATTCAGGATTGATTTCTTTAGGATTGACTGATTTGATCTCCTTGCAGTTGAAGGGACTCTCAAGAGTCATCTCCAATACCACAATTCAAAAACACCAATTCTTCAGTACATAGCTTTCTTTATGGTCCAATTCTCATATCCATACATGGCTACTGCAAGCACCATAGTTTTGACTAGACGGACCTTTATCAGCAAAGTAATATCTCTTCTTTTTAATACTCTTTATGTGCTTGTAATAGCTTTTCTTTCAAGGAGCAAGGATCTTTTAATTTCATGGCTGCAGTCACCATCTGTGGTGAATTTGGAGCCTAAGAAAATAAAATATGCCATTATTTTCATTGTTTCCCTATCTATTTGCCATGAACTGATGGGACCAGATGCCACGATCTTCATTTTTTTGAGATTTAAGTTTTAAGCCAGCTTTTTCAGTCTCCTCTTTCATGTTAATCAAGAGGCTCTTTAGTTCCTCTTTGCTTTCTGCCATAAGGGTGGTGTCATCTGCATATCACAGGTTATTGATATTTCTGCTGCCAATCTATTCTAGCTCATGCTTCGTTCAGTCTGGAATTTTGCATGATGTACTCTGCATAGAAGTTAAATAAGCAGTGTGACAATACACAGCCTTGGCGTACTCCTTTCCCAATTTGGAACCAGCCCATTGTTCCCTGTCCAGTCCTAGCTGTTGTTTCTTGACCTGCATACAGATTTCCCAGAAGGCAGGGAAGGTGGTCTGGTATTCCCATCTCTTCAAGAACTTTTCACAGTTTGTTGTGATCCACAAAGTCGGAGGCTTTGGCATAGTCAATAAAGCAAAATTAGATGTTTTGTTTGTTTGTTTGTTTGTCTTTCTGGAAATCTTTTGCTTTTTCGATGGTCAACAGATGTTGGCAATTTGATATCTGATTCCTCTGCCTTTTCTAAATCCAGCTTGAACATCTGGAAGTTCTTGGTTCATGTACTGTTGAAGCCTCTCTTTGAGAATTTTGAGCATTACTTTGCTATCATGTGAGACAAGTGCAAATGTGAAATAGTTTGAACCTTATTTGGCACTGTCTTTCTTTGGGATTGGATGAAAACTAACCTTTTCCAGTCCAGTGGCTACTGCTGAGTTTCCAAATTTGCTGACCTATTGAGTGTAGCACTTTCACAGCATCATCTTTTAGGATTTGAAGTAGCTCACAGGAATTTCATAACATCCTCTAGCTTTGTTTGTAGTGTTGCTTCCTAAGGCCCACTTGACTTCACACTGCAGGATGCCTAGCTCTAGGTGAGTGATCACACCATTGTGGTTATCTGGGTCATGAACATCTTTTTTGTACAGTTTTTCTGTGTATTCTTGCCATCTCTTCTTAATATCTTCTGTTTCTGTCAGGTCCATATCATTTCTGTCCTTTATTGTGCCATCTTCACATGAAATATTACCTTGGTATCTCTAATTTTCTTGAAGAGATCTCTAGTCTTCTCCATTCTAGTGTTTTCCTCTATTTCTTTGCACTGATCATTTAGTAAGGACTTATAAGGCTCTAAATCCTATAGTAGTTTATATTGCTGACCATTCTTTTCTTGAAACCCTCACCTTTCTTGGTTTCTTTGATTTCATGTTTTGTGTGTTTGTTTTTTTAATGTCACTGGCCTCATCTTCTTGATCTTGATCTTCATTTTTTCTACTCTATCCTATTTGGGTTCTGTCAAATCTTGTTTGTATAACATGAGTCTCCTTATTTCACTTTTTAACACAATAAAGTATTCTTGTCAGTCAATTGTCACATTAGTCAGATTTATCTCACTTTAATACTTCTAGCCCAACTGTATTTTGTGCTTTATACCTATGTATTTATATCTCTTCATGACAACTTTCTTTGAAGTCTCTATTCACCTTAAAAAGAACAACTTTGAAATAAAACCCAAGAACTCTCCTTCCCATTTTATACTTTAGCAGGATTTCTTATTTTAATACATGACACTCATAAATATTTAAACTTTACAACCTAGAAATCCAATTCAACATTTTTCAATATTTTTGGTCATTTTATTACTTAGATGCACCTTGAATCTATCAGTTTTTCTTTTACTCTCTGATAATTTCCAACTACCATAATTCTTAGTTTGAAATATTGCACAAACCCAATGGGATAATTCATTTTATCCTGATATATGCAGAGCTGACCATAGCAAAATCATTTCCTATGTGACAAGTAGAGTCCTTTTGTCAAAATTCAGATCAGATGATGTTGCCCTCTGCTTAAAGTATCTTAATTACTTTCATTTTTTAAAAAATAAATGTCAAAATGTATCCAAATAGAAAACAAAACTACATATTCTGACCCTACCTACCTGCCCTCTTACATCTAAATATATTTGCATCTTGATCATGATGCTGCAGATTCATTACAGTTACTTTTTATTACATTATTTTACTTTTTAAAGGTCCTCTGGGCCTGAGCTCCCAGAACCGGTCCTGAGGGAAGGGAAGTTGGAGACTGGGTCAGTCCCCAATGCGAAACGCCCCAGACCAGGTAGCATCGCAGACACGAGATGCGCGCCGGTGATGGGGGCACACAGCTCAGGGATCCTGTTCGCTGGCCGCCGGCACCTCGTGTTCAGATGGGACTCCGTGCTCTTTCCTAAAGCCTTCTGGAGGATCGGCTACAAAAGGTCAGTAGGTGCTCAATATGCTACTGGAGAAATAACTCCAGAAAGAATGAAGAGATGGCGCCAACGCAGAAACAACGCCCAGTTCTGGATGTGACTGATGATGGGAGTAAAGTCTGATGTGATAAAGAACAGTATTGTAGAGGAACCTGGAATGTTAGGTCCAGGAATCAAGGTCTTGTCCCACCTATGTCTGAGGACATCCCTAGAAGTTCATGCTGGCATCATCCCTGGTGTGCAGGTGTGGATACCGACAGGCTGTGAGAGACAGGGACTCATCCAGGACGGAGAACAGGTGGGAAATGGGAGGCACTTGTTCACAGGGCTCCTCATGGGACTGCAGACAGGAGCCGGTCCTCGGAGCCCCCTGCTCCACATCCCTGCACGAGGGCCAGGAGCCCCACACTAGCGACAGGGCCCAGGAAGGGCACAGGAATGAGAAGTTTTGGACACCACCATAGGGATGATGCAGTTAACACCCGGGGAGCTGTCCAATACAAACTGCCCCGAGACGCTAACCCAGGGGGAAAGTGTGTCTGCGGGGGACTAGAATGAGAACTGCAGGGTGTGGAACGTCCAAAGACACAGACTGGAGTTGCTGGTGGGCAACCTGATGCCTGCCTTCCTGGGCCGTGACCCCTCTTACCTCCCCACATTCCTGGGCACCTACAGGGCTTTTGGTATCCCCCAGCAGGTGCTGGACCTTCTCTTCACGAGGTACGGATGCATCCTCCCTTACAGCGATGTGAATGGTAGACCCCTGCACCAGCTGAAAATGGCCATGGCCTCCATCCTGGGCACCTGGCTACAGTTTTACCCTGAGGACTTCCTGCAGTCCCCAGAATGTCCCTGCCTGAAGATGCTCCTCGCATACGTAGAGCTCAGCATGCCCGACTCAGACCTGGAGCAGCGAGCCCGCCATCTCCTGACGCAGCTGGAGACTCTGGAGCCCACTGAGGCAGAGGGGCATGCACCCCCTGGAGAAGAAGCTCTGGAAACATCCCCAGACCTAGAGCCAACAGCACCCATACTGCCTGCCACAGCTCCACAGTCAGAGCAAGCTCAAAGCCCAGCTCCCATTCAAGTTCAAGGACTGCATCAAATAAACATGCCGGCTCCAAACCCAGAGCGGCGTGCTCATGCCGTGGCTCTCCCTTAGGCTTGGAAGCGAGAAAAAGTACCTCCAGGCTCCACTTCTAGATCCAGAGAACATGCAAAAAACAGCTCTCTTTCTCCTTCAGAGCCTGAATCACCCGGAAATCCTGTGCCAGCGCTGCTTCTTCAGCCTCAGTCCCCAGACTTAAGCCAACCTCGGCCAGGGCACTGCCTCGGCTCTGGAGCTCCTTGGTGCTTTGCAGTCAGCTGTGGCTCTGGTGTTATCCAGCTGTGCTTCTAGAGACCCCAGCAGACACAGCTTTTCTAGCAGCTTAGGCACTGGAGCCAGTTCCTCCCCTAACATCCCTGGAGGTGCTCCCACTTGGTCAGCCAGCCTCGCCTTCCCTGGCAGATGCTGTGCTGCCCCTGTGCCAGCACCAGGCCTGAGCCTGTGTCTCCACCCCGAATCTTCCCTCTCTTAATATGTGTTTTGATTTTTGATTACATGTACAAACTTATTTTTTCTGTGAGATAAAGTGAACTTAGAAACTGAAAAAAAAAAAAAGGTCCTCTGTTTGCTCCAGCAGAGAGCCTTTGCCCATGCTCTCTGCTTTCAGCTTAGAACATTCCATTCATTCCTCCATTTGCCATATTAATTTTGATTCTATAATTTCAGTTCTATCACTTCATTAAATTATCCTTTTCTAACCTCTCTAACTATAAATTTTCTTCACACTGCATTTTCATAACACCAAGGATCTTTCTATCTAGCACTTGATAAATAATTTCATTTTATGTTTGTTTCTGTGATTCATTGATAAATATCAGTCCCTTAGTAAAGTCTGTGCTAAGCAAACTGTTTTTCTTTTTTCCTTTATTTTATTCCCAGTGTCTCAAACACACCTGATAGATGGAAGGTATCCCTTAAGTATTTGTAAAATGGATTAATAAGTGAACAAAATAAATAAATAAAGCTATTTCCATGATTTTAATAAATACATTTTAATATATTTATACATGCATGTATATATGAGAAAAATAATCTTATTTATACAAATATACATATATATATGATAAAAATATGATATTTTGTAAAAATCACAAACTTGTTTTACTTCTTCATTTGTTCACTTATTAATCCATTCTACAAATACTTACGGGACACCTTCCATCTATATATAACAGGAGATACAGGTTTGTTTTCTGTGTCAGAAAGATCCCCTGGAGAAGAAAATGGCAACCCACACTAGTATTCTTGCATGGGAAATCTTATGGACAGAGCAGCCTGGTGGGCTACAGTCCATGGGATTGCAAAGAGTTGGAAATAACTTAGTAGTCACTAAACAACAATAGCTACACACACACACACACACACACACCTGTGTGTTTGTTAGTTGCTCAGTCATGTCCGACTCCCTGCGACCCAATGGACTGGAGCCTGATAGGCTCTTCTGTCCATGGAATTCTTGAGGCAAGAATATTGGAGTGGGTGGCCATTCGTTCTCTTCTTGAAGATCTTCCTGACCCAGAAATTGAACCAGGGTTTTCCACACTGCAGGCACATTCTTTACCATCTGAGTCAATATAGATATATGTTTTTATAGCATGTGCTTTTCTGGTAATCTTATACAGTGTAAAGTGGTTTTGTATTAGGTTGGTGCAAAATCAATTGCGGTTTTGCATCGTTGAACTTTGCTGTTTGATATTTGAATACATTCTAAAATAACTATGGCTGTACACATTTCTTGCTTTACTCACTTCCCACGTAGCTCAGTCGGTAAAGCATCTGCCTGCATTGGGGGAGACCTGGGGTCAGTTTCTGGGTCAGGAAGTTCCTCTGGAAAAGGAAATGGCAACCCACTCCAGTATTCTTGCCTGGGGATTCCCATGGACAGAGGAACCTACCAGGCTACGGTTCATGGGATTGCAAGAGTTAAACACAACTTAGCACTATCTTGCTTGCTTGCTTGCTTTATTTCTTTTTTAACTAATGCCACACTTGTTGTTTATTTTATGTTTACTTTAAACTTTTATATTTATTTTAATAGATACAGTTATATTTATTTATTAATAAATAATTATTGATATACTAACTTTTATTAGACAAAAGCAAATTCAAATGATTTTCTCATTCAAGTTTAAAATGGGTAATAAAGCATCAGAAACAACTCATCACATCAGCAATGCATTTGGCCCAGAAACTGCTCACAAGCATTTAGTGCAGTGATGGCTCAAGAACTTCTGCAAAGGAGACAAAAGCCTTGAAGATAAGGAGAGTAGTGGCTGGCCACAGGAGGTTGACAACAACAAACTGAGAACCATCTTTGAAGTTGATCTTCTTACAACTATAGGTAAAGTTGCCTAAGAACTCAGCATTAGACTATTCTATGGTCATTTGGCATTTGGAGCAAATTGGAAATGTGAAAAAGCTCAATGGGTGGGTGCCTCATGAGCTGACTAAAAATTAAAGAGAAAATGTTGTTTTGAAGTGTCATCTTATCTTATTCTGTGCAACAACAACAAACCATTTCTAGATCAGATTACGACATGCAATGAGTCATGAGCAGCTCAGTGGTTGGACCAAGAAGAAGCTCCAAACTTACACCAAAGCCAAACTTACACCAAGGAAGATTAAGGTCACTGTTTGGTGGTCTGCTGCCCGTCTGATCCACTACAGCTTCACGAATCCTGGTGAAACCATTACATCTGAGAAGTATGTTCAGCAAATCAATAAGGTGCACTGCAAATAGCAATGCTGGTAGCTGACTTTGGTCAATAGAATGGACCCAATTCTTCACAATAATGCTGGACTGATCGTTGCACAACCAGCACTTCAAAATTTGAACGAACTGGGTCACAAAGTTTTACCTTATCTGCCAAATTCACCTGACCTCTCGCCAAATGACTACCACTTCTTCAAGCATCCTGACAACTTTTTGCAGGGAAAACATTTCCACAACCAGCAGGAGGCAGAAAATGCTTTCCAATAATTTGTCAAATCCCAAAGTGTGGATTTTTATGCTACAAGAATAAATATTTCTAATTGGTAAAAATGTGTTGATTTTAATGTTCCTATTTTGTTTAATAAAAATATGTTTAAGCTTAGTTATAATAATTTAAAATTCATATTCTAAAACTTCAATTACTTTTTCATCAGCCATAATATTTTGGGAAAGAAAATATCTGTCAGAATTTTCTATTTATTCATAAAATTTTATCCCAAGCATTGCATTATCCATGGCAACTTTATAGGAATTGGTTGAGGGGGGAAGGGTGGTACATCGATCTGAAAGCACTGTACTTGTTTTGTAGTTAGATACCCATATGAATAGAATATTCCAGACTTTTCCAGAAATAAAACCCCTAGATGGAGTCACACAATCATTATTTGTTTAGTATGGAAATTGTTGTTTTTACTTTAACAAATGCCTAATTTTTGACTCAGTTAAAATGCTATCTACATAACATATACACTTTCAATGTTAATATTCAACATAGGTAAAAAAATACAAATGTCAAAAGGTAAAGAGAAACTCCACAATTTACTGTATTTCTATTCAGTTAAAATACATCTGGGGGCATAAGTCAGTAGGACCAGCTTCAAAATAAATTAATGGATTAACAAGGGATATGGTTATCCAGGGAATTGCATGAGATGATAATAAAATACCTGGGAAAGTTTAACGATGAAATTTCCCCCAATGAAAACTGCTGAACAGTCATTAAAATATACTCTTACATCTCCTAGATTTATTTATTTCTTATCATTCTTTCTGGTGATTCAAATATGAATAATCACATTTCTAAAAAGGCATGTAACAGTATCTTTAAGTGAAACTATAAAAGTAGTTATGCCTGAAAAGACATACGTGGCATTTTAAGGTTCTTGCAATTGCAGCCGTTAGTGATTTAAAATGCATGTTGCATGTCACCTTATATTCTAATATTGGTTAAAACTAACATTTAATGAATGCATATTATGCCCTAGACATTCTCTTAGGAGCTATCTTTTTTAACTTTCATAATAACACTCTTTTAACTTAGTCATACATTGCAGAAAGGAAACTGAGGCTCAATGGAGTAGAGTGCGTGTGTGAGCTTGTGTAGCCAAGACAAGGCTGAGCCAAGGTACAATTAATTGACTCCAAACTCTAGGTATGTTTCATTATGCTATATGATCCCTAGAATGAAAAGGGATTTTGCCACTTAGAGAAAGATAAAATGTTAATATCCACAAGATTGTATCTCTCCTCTACACTGTGCATAATAACTAATAAAACTGCTTACATTTTAAATTATTCTCTGTCACAGTGTTACCAGTTAACCTGAGAAGAACACACTCATTTACATTCCAAGGGCAGTTTGCAATTTGAATTAAACATAAGTGTACATAAGAAAGGCATCCCATGATGTTTTCCAGGAAGTTAGCTTCTAAGCACTTATTAGCTAATATGTTTCCTCGGCAGATAAATGGTAAACTAAAATATACTGTGTGTCAGTGGAAAGAAACTGAACTGAGGACTATTCTGCATCCTAATCTCAGCTATGACAATAACATGCATGACCATGGATAAGTCATTATTTCATATTTCCAGGTCATATTTTTTCTATTCAATATGAGGGAATTGATGAGACAATTTATATAGCTATTGAGACTTGAAATATTTTTTTTAATAAAATGATTATTGTAAGAACCCTTCTTTCAAAGATGACAATCCTCCTAGTTTCCCCACCTTTAGTTAATCAACCCACTTGGACTGTCTTCAAACCAGAAACACTTTTGCTTCATTCCTTTTCCTTATCTCCAATGGAATAATGAGACATAAGCACAAAGAAGGTTCTTATCACATGGGCACACTGCAGACTGTTCTTCAATAAAGCCTTCTTATCCCACGGATACCCGGCATTTTCCATAACAGATGTGTGAAGATGGTGGATTTTGTTAGCATTTCAATGATCTGGCACACAGAATGGGAGCACTCAGAACCCTGGGTGCCAGTTGTTCAGGGAGCTACACACAGCTCTGGATAAAGCAGCTACCCAGCAGGGTTGCCTCTGAGTGCC